AATATTCTTGGTAAAATATAGCTAAAAATATACAGTGGGTCCATATTAAGGAAGGTACCTAATGCTAAGCTAAAGAATTTCAACTTTTTATCCTAGGTACTGAGGAACCTTTAAGTTTCTAAATGGGAAAGTAATAAAATGAAAACATTATGGCATTAATATCTATGTTGGCAGCATTACTGCCCCTGGAATACAGACTCCTATTGGATAGGATCTGTATCTATTCAACTTCCCTAAAAGAGGATTACATGCAGAGAAGTATTTAGTACCCCATTAGCAATGAACACCCCAAGTACAAAGGCTGTGGTATCTAAATACCATTTCTTACTAAAAGGAACCAATGCTCCTTGGAGAAAGGGCTGAATCCAGGGATGTGCAGAATATTTACAAAATCAGTCTAAAAACATTTCGTTATGCCAGAAAGGAAGTAAACTATCAAACACTACAGTGGCCTGGTCAGAAGAATTCAGGAGCCCACCTGAGGGAGTTCCCACTGGCCAAAGAAGAAACAATTTGAGCATTAAAGTAATAAATATTATAGAAATATATTAAAATTTTTAACATCCATGAGTTCATAAATATACTTAAAAACCTAAAGGTGACAAGGGAACTAACTCATGCTGAAAACTAGGAAATAAAGGAGAAAAATCACATTTATCTTACTCTTCCTATAAAAACTGTACAAATACTTAAAAATGTAAAGTTCTTTGTTATAAAAGAATTTCTGTTAGTAAAGGTAGAATTAATGATCAAATAAGAATATTGCTATTTTGCACCTTCTAATGAAATCATGGACATAGCAGTCATCAATGGCTGCTAAAACTATTAGCTAAAAAGGCGAAGGAGAATTTATGCTGTTTATCATAAACTTTATCAGGTTGACAACATCTGAACCCAATAACCAACCATAACATGACAGAAAGATAACCAGATAGCGTATGTCTCTTAAAGTAATGCAATAGGAAGTAAACAGTAACACCTATGAAGTCTTTTCAGGGGAAAAAACAAAAAACCCTCAATCTGAATAATCCTGTAGATTTACGACCAGTTTAAAAAAAGACAGGAGAAAGGACATCATAGGTATCCATACAGTTTGCAAAATTCAGAATGCATGAAATTCTACAGGATCATAGATTGAAATACATCAAAAGTAATGTGGAGACTTTGTTTAGGTCTTGATTTCAGTAAACCAATTGTAAAATATGGAATAAAATTTAAGACAATTAAATTTGACATTGAATGTCTCTTTTATGATATTACAGTACTGTTAAAATTTTAAGTGTACTAATCATACTGCAGTTATGTTCTTTTTAAAAGCCCTTTCATATTTTAGATATATATTCATAATTCCAGAAAGCTTAATCTTATATACTTATCAATAAAATAATATGATGTCTGGAATTTACTTCAAAAGAATCCAAAGGGCTGGAAAGAGGGCTATATATTAATCATTGTTTAGCTGATTTATGTAGGTGCGTTCGTTAACCAACTTATTTAAGATATGTTTGAATACAGAGATTGGGTATTCCAAGTGAGTTAACTTAAAAGTATTTCTGACCTCCTGCCTCATCACTGAAATCATTAAAGACTGAAGACAACTACTCACAGAAAGAAACATAGAACAAAGTTAGAAAAAAGTAGTTATGGAAGTACAATGTCGGCGGGCATGTAAAAACTTCACTGAGAAAAGAAAGAACTTCCAATGCCTAAAATCGGGGTAGGAAGCAACGGTCAACCTTGAGACTCTTTATCTGTTACTGAATGGCAAGGGGGCAATTTAGTAAAGAAAAAATACCTGATGTGGGAGTTAGACGACTAACAACGCCGAGCTTTGTAATTTCGAACTCACTTAACTTGTGTAGGTTTTGGAGTACGAAAACACGGGAAATTAAATAAAAAATAATAATTGCGCTGTGTGTACATATGTTATTCTATTTAAACTTCACAACAACCCAAGGAGGTGTTGCGGGCAACTGACATAAACTTTTTAGAGGACTACTTAATGAGGTAGGCATCAACACATGGTCTCATTTCTCATATGAGGTGATTGAGGTTCGAGGCCAATAACCTGTTTAACCTGGAACGACTTGGTCCAACCAATATTCCGGGTTTATCTAACAAGAAAGAATGCTTTGAACACTCCAACGCACTGAACTATATCCGAGAGAAGCTTGTGGGGGCTAGATGTGAAATTCTGTAGAACTTAAAACCGTTTCCACAGACCTACAATTTTTCATCGCTCTACACATCTCGGTCTCACCGGGAAAAAAACAAAACCAAACCAAACAGCCTTTCACTCACCATTAGGAAGCCGGTGTTCTCAGCTGGGACCTCCTGCTCCAGCTCCCCAAAGCCTCTATCCGCCAAGCCCCGAGCCTTCTCGAATCTCTCAGTCCGTGACCTTCAAACTACAGCTCCCATAAAGCCGTGAGAGGACACCTGCCCTTCGCCGGAAGTTTGAGAGGCTCCATCCGGCGCCGGGAAGAGCGAGCGGGGGGATTTCCTGGTTCTTCGAGTACAGCCTGCGTTCTTCTATTCTGGTCACCTGTGGGTTAGTAGCAGCAGCAGCGGCGAGTTAGTCGGCCCAGTGCTGCTTCTGGAGCTGGTAACCAGTTCTCTGTGCTCTCGGGTCTCCGCGCTGTCGGGCCCTGCCCTGCTGGGTGGTGTGGCGCAGCCTCGCGCTTGGACTTGCAGCCCAGGCGCCGGGGACGAGGCTGGGGACTCACCTGATCCAGCGCAGTCTTTGAGGGGGGGAAAAAGAAGTGCTGCTTCATGTGTGCTTTCACGTTTTTAAATAAAAGTAATCTCACAGTACTGCCAAGGGAATAAACTCTCAAGGTATTTGACTGTTTGGAGACATTGGAGAGACCGTGCATTGGGTGGCGCTTGGTCGGTTAGATGGCCTTCTTGAACGCCCAAGAAATAATGGTCGGTGACTTAAGTGACAAAGCTGTATTTGAGGTCTGCCCTGTCTCTTGAGCCATGTGACCTTGGACCAGTTAGGGGCACCGGAGTACACATCCGTAAAAGTGGATGTTGGTTTGGCTAAATCTAAGACTCTTTAAACTCAAGATTCTTTAAAATGACTTCTCAGGATAGTCCGTGTTCTTGGACAGCAAGGGCAGCATTTAGCTAACTGAATCACCTCATCCTGCCTTCAAATCCTTACCTTCAGGAGAACCTGACAATGAGAAGTGAAAAAGTAAAGCAAACAGTAGAGGTGGACTTTAGACTTTGTGTGTTCTTCTGGAATGAGTAATGGTTCTATTTCTAGATGGCTTTTCTGCTGAAAAAGCTAAGGGAGAAAGTGCATTTTCCACTTCTTTTCACCTGAGACTACTGTATGCATAAGCATTGCGCTGGGGGTAGTGAATGGTACTATATTTTTGGAGGCCAGTTTTGCAGTCAACCTGCACTGAGTGGGCTGTGGAGAAGGTAAGGAAGTGACCATGACTTAAATATTGCCTGAAGTAAACCTAACTGAAGAACCTGTATGATATGATTTTAAGGAAAAGGCAACTTTAAAGGGAGACCATACATGAGTCAGTATACAGCAGTGCAAAATAAAGTCCTGAAAAGTTGTAGCTTTTGTTATTCATAATGTTTTTAAAGCATTTAGGAATCTTAATATGAAGAGAATGGTGAAGTAAATTCTAGAATAAATCAAAAGAAATAAAATATTGTTTTCTAATCTAGAAGTCACTCCTACTTTAAGTTGTATACAGAATTTCAATATTTTGTTTCTATTCCTGTGAGTAGTTTTGACCTATTTATAGGTAGCAGAAAGATATAAACAGGTAGGGTGAACAGTCACAAAGCCCACTTTTTTCTTTTTATATTGTCATGCTATTCCTACTACACAACTGATCAACAAAATTGCAGTGTCAGAACCCTAGAGACAACTGCTGTCAAAAATTATGGATTATAACCTTTCTTTCTCTTTAGCCTCAATACCTTATGCTCAGAATGGTAGAAACTTAGTTAGAATCCCAAATCTTTTCTTAATAGAATTTCATAGGGAAAAAAAATCATACCTTAAAAAAAGTACTTTGAGAAGTTTATAGACAATTGAAATATGAACCATTTCCACACACACACACAAAAAAGCTCAGTTTGTGCCCTACCACATTCAGTCCACAATTAGGCAACATTTATTAAAAGGTATGAAACAATTATTTTCTTTCTTACTGAAATAACAGTAACAAAGCAGACAAAGTTAATGGTTTTAAAAGCTTCTGTGATTCAAGGATAGACAAAGTGACCAACAGAACAGTGTCCAATAATAGGTCCAAAATATATGGTCTCATTTGTGGAAAGGATAATACTGCAATGTAATGGGACAAAGATAGTGAATTCAAGAATGATGTTGAGTTGAATGGATTATCTATTGGGATAAAATGTATCGTGACCCCTACCTCACACCATGAGCAAAAATCATTCCCTGATGGATTAGCAGAATTAACTATGCGAGGTAAAGTAATAAATTTTTTTCATGTGAAATGTAGCTTTTTGAATAGGATCATAATTTCCCTGAGAGGACAGATCTGTTTCTAGTACCACAGATTCTAAGAATACTACTTGGCATCTGCTGAAAACATCTGTCTTTATTTCTGTCTGCTTGCTTTAACTCCCCTCATGCCCTGATCCATACTGAAGTCCCTCTGGTTTGCCTGAAATACACTTTCCTCTTTGTAATGTCTGTTACCTTATTCCCCCCTCCCAATGATGTCACCCCCTTCAACTGTATTCCACCAAAGTTCTTTATACATTATTTTATACATCCCCCATGTTGAATTATATTTAAAATTCTCATCTGATAACAGTTTTGAAATGTATGCTGTGATGACAGTTGACTACTAGTTACCTTTTTAAGAGTATATTGTTTTAGAAACCATAACTAATATTCTAATTATATTAGCACCCTGATAATGGTCAATCATTGATACAAGAAAGCAATTGCAAATGAGTTTTTTTTCCTATTTTCCTATTTTAAGGAAGAAATGTCTTCTGTAAAAAGAAGTCCAAACCAAGAAATTATATCCCAATTTCACTATTCAGCTGCAGAAGGAGATATTGCCAGGTTAACAGTAATGCTCAGTCATTCTCCATCTCTTCTCAATGAAACTTCTGAAAATGGCTGGACTGCTTTAATGTATGCTGCAAGGAATGGGCACCCAGATGTTGTCCAGTTTCTACTTGAGAAAGGGTAAACATTTTAGGCTGTACCACCTGAAGGAGTGTCTGGTTTAATTTCTGGTTTACGTATTTTCTTTTAAATTTTTCTTATAGCCATATTTATAACATTGGGCTTGTAAATAACTCATTGAACAGTCTTGTTATATAATAGCATAATTTCTAATTAAAAATTTTTAACTTTTTTTAATTGGGAAATTAACTCTTCATACTTAACAGCAAAGAAATTGAGTTAAATTAATTTTTTTCTCCCAAATAGAATGTGTAAATCTACCCACTATGACTATAGAAAACTCCTTGTAAAAATTTAATATCTCATTATAGCACATAAAATGTATGCTTTTTTTATTTTATAAATAATCTTCCAGAAATTTTAAATATCTACTGTCTCTAACTTTTAATCATTTATGATTGTTTCTTTTACCTTTCCATTAGTATATTATGTGCTAAAACAAAAAGAAATATATGCAATTATTAAATAGAGGGGCTATCACGTACATCTGGAAATATTTTATTGTAATAAATACTGAAGAAGATGTTTCTTTACTATTTTATTTTTTGCTTCCATCCATAGGTGCGACAGATCCATTATCAATAAATCAAGGCAGTCTGCACTGGATATTGCTAAATTTTGGGGTTATAAGCATATAGCTAACTTACTAGCTAATGTTAAAGGTGGGAAGAAGCCTTGGTTCCTAACCAGTGAAATGGAAGAATGTGAAAATTATTTTAGCAAGACACTACTGGACCGGAAAAGTGAAAAAAGAAATAATTCTGACTGGCTGTTAGCAAAAGAAAGCCATCCAGCCACAGTTTATATCCTTTTCTCAGATTTAAATCCCTTGGTTACTCTAGGTGGCAATAAAGAAAGTTTCCAACAGCCGGAAGTCAGGCTTTGTCAGCTGAACTACACAGATATAAAGGATTATTTGGCTCAGCCTGAGAAGATCACCTTGATTTTCCTTGGAGTAGAACTTGAAATGAAAAAAGAGTTGTTTAATTATGCTGGGGAAGTCTCACAAGAAAAAGATGCAGAAAAAGATGCGTTGGTTGCCTGGTTTGCTTTAGGTATAGATCCTGTTGCTGCTGAAGAATTTAAGCAAACCCATGAAAATTGCTATTTTCTTCATCCTCCAATGCCAGCTCTTCTGCAGTTGAAAGAAAAAGAAGCTGGTAAGAAGTGAACACTGTTTACTTGTATTGGTAATAATCTGATTTTTGGTATTGGATTGAAATTGCATGTATCCACAATTTCTAGGAAGCACACTCTT